ACGTTTTGATTACTTCATTAACTCAGACCATTTCTCTACCAATATAACAAGATCACTTGAAGATATTTTGATTACTTCATTAACTCATACCATTTCTCTACAGATTAAACAATATCACTAGAAGACATTTTGAATAATTCACGCCATTTCTCTGCAAATATAACAATATCACTAGAAGACATTTTGATTAATTCATGTCACTTCTCCATTGATATAACAATATCAGTAGAAGATATTTTGATTAATTCATTAACTCATACCATTTCTTTACCAATATAACAAGATCAGTAGGTGACATTCTGCTTATTTCATTAACTCATACCATTTCTCTATAGATATAACAATATCACAAGAAGATGTTTTGATTAATTCATTATCTTGCACCATTTCTCCACAGATATAACAATATCCTTAGAAGACATTTTGATTAATTCATTAACTCATACCATTTCTCTACAAATAAAACAATATCATTAGAAGACATTTTGATTAATTCATTAACTCTTACCATTTCTCTACAGATATAACAATATCACAAGAAGACATTTTGATTAATTCATTAACTCATACCATTTCTCAACAAATATAACAATATTACAAGAAGACATTTTGATTAATTCATTAACTCCCATTTCTCTGCAGATATAACAATATCACTAGAAGATATTTTGATTAATTCATTAAGTCGTATCATTTCTCTAGAGATATAACAATATCACTAGAGAGCATTTTGATTAATTCATTAGCTCTTACCATTTCTCTACAGATAAAACAATATTACAAGAAGACATTTTGAATTATTTGTTAGCTCATACAATTTCTCGACAAATATAACAATATTACAAGGAGACATTTTAATTAATTCATTAACTCATGCCATTTCCCGACAAATATAACAATATTACAAGAAGACATTTTGATTAATTCATTAATTCATACCATTTCTCGACATATATAACAATATTATAAGAAGACATTTTGATTAATTCATTAACTCATACCATTTCACTACAGATATGACAATATCAAACAATATCACAAGAAGACATTTTGATTAATTCATTTACTCATTCCATTTCTCGACAAATATAACAATATTACAAGAAGACATTTTGATTTATTCATTAACTCATACCATTTCTCTACAGATATAACAATATCACTAGAAGACATTTTGATTAATTCATTAAGTCGTAGAATTTCTCTGTAGATAAAACTATATCACTAGAAGATTTTATCACACTAGAAGAACAATATCACTAGAAAAATGTCTTCTTGTGATATTGTTATAATTGTTGAGAAATGGTATGAGTTAATGAAAAAATCAAAATGTCTTTTAGTGATATTGTTATATCGGTAGAGAAATGGTATGAGTTAATAAATTAATCAAAATGCTTTCTAGTGATATTGTTTGATATTGTTATATCGGTAGAGAAATGGTACAAGTTAATGAATTAATCAGAACATCTTCTTGTGTTATTGTTATATCGGTAGAGAAATGGTATGAGTTAATGAATTAATCAAAATGTCTTCTAGTGATATTGTTATATCTGTAGAGAAATGGTATGAGTTAATGAAGTAATCAAAATATCTTCTAGTGATCTTATCATGTTGGTAGAGAAATGGTTTTGAGTTAATGAAGTAATCAAAATGTCTTCTAGTGATATTGTTTTATCTGTGGAGAAATGGTTTTGAGTTAATGAAGTAATCAAAATGTCTTCTAGTGATATTGTTATATCTGTGGAGAAATGGTAGAGTTAATGTCATAAGCTTCAGCTGTATTAAGGAACACGGGAATTACTCATGAAGTCATATACTACATTAAAACGAACTTCTAAGTTTATCATCTTTTATGGATTACGGTGTGCAACTTCAAAAAAGCAATTTTTCAGTTCTGGATCGACTCGAGCTTACCGAACAATTCGTAGTAACATTCATTTTCCCATCCACGAGCTGATGGTGAAAAAGACAAGTTGATTCATCATTAAGAAGTTACCAAAAACATAATCAGCCAAATTCCTTCTACTTAATTAATCCAAAAAAGTATCATTTTTTACGCAATCACTACAGTAAATGATACTTTTAGTTTAATTTTAATCCGACTCTAAATTATCCTGGAAGACTTTTTTTATTGCACAGAAATTTATCTTCGTAAAGTGCTAAGTTATTTCTGAAGTGAGTTTGCAAATACTGAATTTTCGCATTTTGTTAAAAAGTTCTCTTCCTGCAGATGATCACCACTAAAACGGCATGAGCTCAATGGAAATATCTTTGCATACTTCTCAGTGCAACCTTTTATAACATCACTTTCTTCAAATTCAATCCAGTGACCAAACATAAAGGTTCTTTCAGCCTAAAATATTTTTCATCCTACTGGCCAATTTATAGTAACAGCTTATTTGCATCAATTAAATTTTCACTCATTTCAATTTTGCATAATAAGAATAAGTTGTTAGAAGTTAGCTTCCACTCGCTTGTAGAAAATAATGAGCTCGAAAATCCAGATGCCAAAGAATAGAAGAGAAATGTTTTCTCCTACATAAACGACATGCATTATTTCAGTTTCATTGAGTGCTAGAGTAGCAACGACATCATACATCTTTAACTGAAATATCATCCTGTTCATCCAGTAAATATTTTACCCAAACAAAATCTTAAGTTAAAAAGCTGGAAGGATATAATAACTGAAGAATGAATATCGAGATTAACCTTTCAATTCCTAAGTCATATGAATTAGTCTTTCTCCATAAATTCCTTTTTACCTATAAGTTAAAATATCTGTAAATGTATATTTTCAAACGATATGAAAAACTGAGCTTTCTGAAGCTTTTTTAAACAGATCAGTCAAGAAAAGACATTCCAAAACAATAATAAAAAAATCGATAAATGCTAAACAATTTGTTTTTTACATACTATTTCATCCATTTATTTCAATCACAATACACTTCATTACGCTCTTTCTAGTTTCTAATTAACTGCTACAGTTAGAGAAGCTTCATGGCCAACACTTATTCAGATATATAGAAAGATAAACTGCATATAGAATCATTACAATTCAGCGGAACAATACTCGAGAATACATCTGCTAATAATATCCGATAATCCGTTACATTCAGGAGATAAGAATTATACAGCAAGAAATAACAAGTCATAGGAATGCCAGTAAAGTCTTAAATACCTCAAAATTAGTAGTTCAGCTAATATGTGTAACTTATTCAAATATAGCAGTTCTGGACCTGTCCCATCACATGAATACAACACCATCCAAAGACCTATGAAATGCTCAATGGAAAGCTCGTTACAGATCACAGCACCGCAAAATGTCACCTTCACCGCATTTCCCACCTGCCATACTACAGATCTGACCAGAATAAGCGGGTAATGAGACGGGTGGGGCTGAATGATAAGGGCAGTTCCACTTTATTGGTACAATTTGTTGACATACGCAGGGACGTGTGGAGATGACATCGGTAATCGAGAGTGGAACACGTAGAGGATGATCGTTTTCGAAAAGAAGGTAAAATCATCGATGAGCAAGACTGAGAACACTTTGTCAATAATAATGTGCAATGGTTTGTTAAACCATAATTTAATACATAATTCTTTGATCAGTACATAATAGGTACATAATCCTCTTTTATGAGAAGAAAGATTAGAAGGGAGTCATTTCTAGTGTGAAATGGAGGCATTTAACCCTTGAAGGAGGTAACGCTACATTCAGGACCAATTATATATTTAACACAGTGCATTTAAAATTAATTACTTGTTTGATTAAAATGCTGACATGCAAATTTGGTAAATTACTTAACAATCTTGTTACTGATAGAGATGATAACAGATACATTGTTATCAATGCTCTTACAGCCATCACGCGTCGGTGACACTGTGTATGTACGAAGGTGAACTTTGTGTGTCGAAATGTGCATATTTTGAAATTTGCCGTACTTACATTCTTGAATTCTATAATCTATTGGGAAATTTTAGAGTTGTAAAGAAGTTTTTCTTTACGACAGTCTTTTCTAATTTTATTTTGCTTTGCTTAGTTATCACGATATGCTTGTGGTTTGGGTTCACATTTAACTGATTTAAATTTTTCTTATTTCTTATTACCTTATACCTGAATTGTATTTGTTTTTTAGAAGCGAAGGACTGGAACAGCAGTATAGAAAAAACAGTCACAAGTTCGGAATTCTACTTTTCTACTATCATCCATTCAACTTTAAAAATTATCTCTTTACCTTTGATAATACTCTATGTTCTGCACAACAGATTGATGATCTTAAACTTGTAAACAAGGAGCAACCTAGTCAAAAAGGTCAGTCGGCATTTTGTCTTAATTATCTCTATATTTTCTCCTGTTCATTTTATTGTAATTTTTGTTTCAGAAACATGTAAAAAATCAAAAGAAGGTTGGTTCAGTCACTGTTTCTACAGTCGAAGAAACGGAGGATGAACTGGAAGCGGTAAGCAAGAACTATTAAATGAATTATGAACATGGAAGAGTTTTAGAGTGGATTTTTTTACGTTTTCAGAAACAGTAAGAAAAATCTAAACGATCATTTAAACATTTCTTAGGAACTTTGTTCATATATGCATTACACTTTACTTTGCTATATCGGAGTATGTAAACGGTCTGGATTTTAAGGTTATGTGTTCTGCGACAGTAAATGATCAGATTTCCGAAAGCTAATTACTATCAGTTTGAAAACCATGCAGAATTCACATAATTTTTTGCAGATTTTTTCTTGATTTAATAACAGTAACAAGCATATCAACATAAGTTAAATCTCAGTTTATTCTAGCGACAAATAGCAGAATTATATGCACTGAATGCTTGTACGAATACCAGATGAAAAGGAAAGGAATGTTGAAAAATGATATTTCGATAGAGTTAATTGAGGCGAAAAAAGAGAGGAAAACAATTGAAGAACACTGTTATAATTAACTTCTGGTGATTTTCTTCATCCATTTCTTAGGAATAATAATGCAAGGATGATAGATCAAGTTATCGAATTTCCTGAAAAATACTTTTTTTTTTTTTAATATTTTTGAAGTTTCCTTCACCTTCATCATTTGCACGAAAACTTTTCATTTAGTGCTTTAAGCATTACATGTGCGTTTTGACTAAAATTCACATGAAATTCAACATTTAAATTAAAGCTTTTCTGTTCAGTGTCTTTTTGTAACCTTTTCTCTCTTTGCGCAACTTTTTTGGGTCATAATCACTTCCAATGGGAAATTCGATGATTTTATCGCATACAGATACTGATATTTTGTGCTTTGGAAGCGCTAAACCTTTCCTTAAAATTGTTTTCGTTTCTTGAAATTGTTTAGAAGATATTGATCGTAGCATTTTTATCTGAAACTGTTCTTTTTTCAGTTTTTACATTAGCCGTCAAGCTCATGGTTTTGTCTTTTCCAATTTTCAAAAAATTGAGAAATTTGTCTTTGTTACAGTGATTCTTTTCTTTTGGAGCTAGTAGGAATGAGCAATGAGCATTATGCCATCATTTTCGTATTTCGCATTGTGGGCGTTGAAAAGTGATCTCATAATAAATAAAAAATTCTTTATGGAATTACTCTTTAATAAATTCAGATAGAGTTCCGAATGGTAAGATATTAGGAATAGGGAAAATAAATTGAAGGGAAAAATAAAAAAAAAAAATTCAGAATGGGAATGTTAGCATATTTGCTGCTTCTTTTTTGAAAATCACTTCGGTTTTGAATGTAAATCCTATCCTCCGCAGTTTGTGGGAAACTGTTCTTATTTCCAAACCCAAAAAAGATAAGATAAGGGAAGAGATAAGATAAGGGAAAAATCAAACTGAGTTGTAAGTTTTTGTGAGGTGGTTATGATGAAATACACACTTCTCTCGCTGCTATAGTTACTACGTCCTCGGGCATTTCGAGCTCATAATCATAAACACTGTTTTGGTCGACATTACTATGAATAAGTAATTCAACCTGTAACAACGATGTTAATAATTTTATTAATCTTGATAATGTTATTGGTAGTGATACGTAAGATAGGTTACGGAGGAGTGTGATTTAAGGTACGTTCCAATTATACTAATTTCAAACACTTACGAAACCATTTTTTTCCATACTTGCCAATATCCAATACTGCAGCATAGATTTTGATGCAACCGGATGACGATTCACTTCTCTGAGAAAAATTGGATAGAGTGTTATTTAAGCAGTTCAATATCAAATAAGCTAAACAAATTATCGAAATTTTAAAGAATGCTCAGTATTTTTTCGAATGTTGGAGAAATTTTTTAAAAAGATCGAAAAGTCAATAATTTCGAAAATTTTCAACAGTATTTTGGTAGCGCTGAAAACTAGCTTGTCTTCTCAAACTTGAATTTCACGGGTTGAATTCCGGATTTCCAGAAAATCACATCTGAGATAATTAAAAAATTTACTTGATCGTATCTCCTGGACGTAGGTGAATAGCAGCAAGGCTCCAGCATTTAGCTGAAGCTACTTGAAGTCGCTCTCGAGCATCATATGATACAGATAACCCTAACAAATCGCTCTCATCCGGAGGTATCAAGTCTCTCGCATGGACGCATACCTGTCAAATCAAAAATGGATAATAGTATTTAATAAGTAAATGGGAAGAAGTGGATTGAACTTTGATGATATTCGTTACAGCGTCTCGCAAGAGTCACAGCTTCTATCTGAAATAAATTCACGATCACAGTCCCAATTCCGATGCAAAACCTTCTCAGGTAGTCATAATTTATAGACTTCCGATCATCTGTTAAATTATAAAGTTCAGAATTTTTTTTTATTTCTGACAGCCAAGGATAATTACTGTGTAAACATTAACAGCTCGTAGAAGTTTAGTTTCACGTTTCACTATCAGTGTTTCAATAGTAGATTGAACACGGCGACAATGAGAATATGCATTTCTCCGAAGTTTTACAGAAGCTCTCTATAAACATTCAGAAAAACCTTAATCATTTAAAACCTTGGTACACAACAAAAGTGCTTCTGGAATTTATTAATGATTTAATAGTGATGAGTAACTTTCCATAGACATCAGGAGATGATATTCTGAATTTAACTTTCCTTTCCCTTCCCATTTTACCAAGGATACAATCTATTCACAAGCAATACGTTGGATCTACAGGACTTTCCTCATAGATTTTTCGAGGTCGTTGATGGATTTTAGAATATGCTAAATATTTTTAAGTGAAAAAAATACAGCTGTTGACTTATGCATAATTTCTATTAATGTTATAGAATCATGGATTTCGATATCATCGACAGATAGAATGATGTCACCGACAAATGCCAAATTAGCTGCCGCCCCACATGGATCCACGAACACTATCTAAAAATACAGCAATTTTAACAAAGTTTCTCTATGCCTTTTTTGTATTGACTAATCTTCATTATTCTCACAATGGACATACTTATGCATAGAATTTTCAGTTTCTCAAAAAGAAAATGAAATTCGAATTATAAAGATAAAGTGAAATTTAAATCTAAATTTAAACGTCACACCTTCCATGTAGTTTTTTGAATTCTTATACCGAATGGCTTGTTCAAAACTATTGTTTCCTAAATATATGCAAAATGTTTAGGACCCAGAATTTTTCATTTTAATACATCAAACTTCTTACTTTATATGTACCTCAAACGTTATACCAAATAGTCATTCAAAACTATCATTTTTGTTATCGCAAATTAATATCAACTATCCATAATTATAAATAATCATTCGTTCCTAGCACACAATCGTATATGTAAACATCTGTAATATCCGGAAGGCTTCAGCATTACATTTCCTTCCCACTTACGTTACTGTTCTTACACCTAAATTTTTTTTCACAAATATTTTAATAAGAACATGGGTACTGGCCACCATTATGCATAATAGAGAGAATCAAGTGCACACTTCTGACAGTCCTGGATGATTCCATGGTCTTGGCCACTTATTTTGGCCCTCACCCATCCAGCAATGAATAATTCGATAATAATGATGTCTGACATTATATTTTGTCTTATTTATACTAAAATGTAAACTGTAAATTCGAAATGAAGGAATGAAAAAAAAAAAAAAAAAAAAGAGATTTTCTTCTACTTCCATCTTGTACAATATCAGCCATCTCCCGGGATAATACAGGGAGGCAAAATATTTAAAACTTATTCAATCAGTTCATTCAAGCAGATATAAACGTCAACTGATTGTCGTGCTTTTTCGGTCTGAATTGATGTTAGCAGTAACTTAGCATGTAACATCGATGCCTTAGGGAGCAGTTTCAGCTTCACATCAATCTTCTTTCATAGTGAGCGTTTCAAGTGAGTCTAAAAAGAAAAGAAATTGTAGACTTAAATACTGATATTTTGTCTTATATGCTTACTAAAACATGGACAAAATGCCTCTCTTTATGCAAGGAACAGGCAGTAATGTCTCTATATAATTTCTCGAAATAACTTCCTCGTCACTTTTGTTTTCCGCGTAATTGTTGAGAGCATACTGCACAGCTAAAACTATGCACAGTTAACAGAGATATAGCATTCCTAAAGAGACAACTGAATAAGTCCGTCCCTCTCTCACCACATTTTCATCAGTGCTGCTCACTATTCTTCCATCCTTCAGCTACTAGAGCGGGAATTTAAAATGATGGATTTGATAGGAAAAAGAGAACTTTGAATAATTCGACACTTAATAATTTGATGTAGATCTGATTCACTGTATTAGTATGAAGGTGACTACCAGTCGTTATTGGACGGTTTTATTTCATCTTTGGTGCTTAGCCTCGCCCTTCGAAACTTCGCAAGCATTCATCCTCGACTGACGCATTCCTTGTGAACCATTCACCTATCCACAAGGACATGCATGCAGACAGGGAGTGAGTAGCTAAGTAGTATAATTTCAGGACACAACTGAGATTGCGAGATATATTTGACGTTTTTGTTTGTGAGCATATCGAAGATGATCGGTTACGTGACAAGCTTAGTTGTCCGACATATGTTGTTCCTGAAATATTGAAAGATTCTCCTGAATATGCTGGTCGGTCGGCTGACATTTGGGCACTAGGAGTTTTATTCTGTGTTTTATTATTTGGAAGGTTGTCCGAAATAATTTAGACAGCATAAAATCTTACTTTGATCTCTATTCTAATACCAAAGAAGTAGGAATTTTTATATGGTCCATCAACATCATTTCCAGTCTTTCATCAAAAATGTTTTAGTTATCTTTTCAACCTCAAAGATTGTTTTGCCGAATTCTTAAGGCAAAATTTAGCATCCCTCCACAGATTTTGATATCACAGGCAGGTATACATTATTCCTTCATATAGGACCTAGTAGTTATATTACTTTTAATAAAATATTTCTGTATTTTAATTTTTTTTTCTGGAATATTTTTGTCATTGATTATATATGGTTCACTCGAAACATCCAGGAAATCAATTTTTACAGCACGTGCTTTAATTTTTGGCATGTTGCGAAAAGAATCGTCAGAACATCCCACCGTTGAACAACTGCTCTACATAGCTTTGGATGAACAGTGTTTAAACAAAACTAATGTTGTGTCATTTCGTTCTACATTACTAGGTATTTAAATTGTTAAGCCTGTTAGCATATGATTTGAAATTTCAGCGATGTGTGCCTTAAAAATTTTTTCTCACTCTGAAATTCATATATGCATGCAGATGCTGAATTTACTTAAGGTTGGCTGGAAATACCATCTTTCCGTGGAGTAATCAGTAATTCAGCTTTTGAATTCGCAGGACGAATCATGAAGGTGATTTTTAATTTCTCAACCAGTTTTTCTTCAAATTATCACAAAGTTTCGTTGCGAATTAATTTTAATTAAAATGATTATCATTTATATCTATATATACTTCTCGATCAAGTTTGTTGGAAGCAAGGAATTGTATGATATTTTTTAAATTGCTTAGAGTTGGTCAAGCAAAGTTCTGGTTTCGCATTGTGGCATAAAAAGATTTTAATAACAGTGGTAATGATTTCATTTGCTTCTTGAAGAAAACGAAGACCAAGTAGTACCAGCTTTCTCACCTGCAATGTGTAACGTTCAACAACATTTGCGAATAATGCACAACATTATAGCTGATTCGTTCTTGGCCACAGCAAGCAAAGAAGAGAATGTCGCCGAATTGCCTTCTCCTTCACATTTTGCTCCTGTTCTTGCTGTGATCACTACTTTTCCTGATAATGCTCTTCTGCTACACCTAGTGCAACATAGTGTCAATCTTCAAGAAATCAAGAATCGTTTTACTCGCAAGTTAAAAGGTTTTATTATCTTTGACGTTTGGATGAGTCCTATTTTATTTCTGAAATCTTGGAAGTAATAAAAATATTTTATTGCGACACATAATCAGGGCAAAATTGTTACATCCTAATTGCAATAGAGAGTATTATCAATATTAGTTAGGTAGGATGTTATGCTAAAACCAGAGAGGTTAATTTTGTCAGATTTATTAGTGAAGAGATCGATTGCATAAACGGTGTTACTTTGCAAATTTTGCCTTTTGAGAATTGCAGAAATTGGCTTAGGATTGATAGCAATCATTATATATATTCATCACAGCGGCACAAATATTTTATTTATTGGAAAAAAATATTTATGATAACTTTTATATGAAATTTGGAAAATTGGATCGTTCATGTCTCTTTGCAATTATTAGAATCTTTTGCGGAGTGTATTACATAGATTTCTGCAATGACCTTGAAATAAAGGAATCCATTTATGATGGCTACTTCATATTTTTTCAAAGTTGCTTTTGGAGCAAATTTTATTTTTATGATTGATTAAAAATCAAATGGTTAGTGTTATTTTTTTTCCGTTTGATTTCCGTTTAAACAGTCGGAATTATGTTTAAAATATTTTTTGGGACGATCTGGCGTGAATTCGATATGTATCTTTTCAAACGAAACCATACTTAGAGAAATTTCTATGCTAAGTGATCTATATTAATGTTTTTTTTACTTCATTGGTGAGAAGTGATCAAGAGAATCTCTTTCACCTCAGTCGCATTCTTCACTAAGAATTTTTTGCAATGATTGTAAATTACTTTTCGCTATATTATTTGAGCAGTCCTTATATAGAACTTCAAAATGCACATCTATTCTTTAGTCTTTCTGTTTTCATGTTAATTTCTTTCCTGGTAGTAACTGCTTTCTTGGTTTAATACTCAAAGTCACATTATCGCGTGTCGAAGGATATGTGCTAATAAAGAATTAAAATCGATTGCATTTGTGGGGGATGACAAAAATTTATAATCGAAAATAACTTCAGCTGACTCGTGAGGGGAATTTCTGGATAAAGTTGGGATTGAGAATTTCATTCATAAGCACAAAAGATGAAAGCTATAATTGCTTTGAATATGTGATTATATAAAGAGAGTTAACTCACGAATAAGATTCTGTTTCATAATTAATATCTAAATATTTGGTCAGCCATGTAGCACATGATGTACAAAAAGCCATAATTTGAAAGGAAATGAATTCAACAAATTTAATTCTTCAGAACCATAATCATCGCTCATTTATATTCCCACTCTTTTAACACTATTCAATTATACTATCCCTGACTTGATGAGTGATTTCGTAGTGGGAAGCAAAAATCATATGAATACCTTTATCACTTGAAAAGACTTTACTATTGCAGTGCTTCAACAATATAGTGGTCTTTTAGATATGCTTCCTTCTCCTTATCCTCAAGTATTTTATACTTATATTTGAATATATCAAGTCATTATATGAAGCCATGATATACTGGCTAGTATCAACCCAGTAAATTTGGAACTTTCTCACTCTCATGCAATGCTAAAACTTCTATCCATAATAATTTAAACAAAACTAGCAAAACAACCTGCAATATTGGGATTATATATGGTATGACAACTGATAATGATAGATGTTTGCTTGTTCAAACTTCTTCATTTGATTACTTAATCATCCTGCAAGAGTGATTGGTTTCTAGTTACAAGGAATTCTTTCGAAGTTCTGTTTTTAAAATTTAGTCCATCTTAACTATGCTCTGTATTGTTATGCAGCTATCCATCATTCTGCTCATGGATTTGCAGTGTTCTTTAATACTAAATGGAATGGAAGCTAACGACGTCCGTGTGGACGAAATGTGATTACCGATTTTATAACTCTGTTTGCGAAAAATTGTAAAGTAATCAAGCGCTTTATTTCAAAAGTGAGAATTTGCTCCAAATTTTTTTGAAATTTTTATGTTTCAACTTCCTCTTCAAACCTCCAGATCTGCAGTACTGAACAGGCCAAAATCAACAACTTTTTTTCTATCAGTAAAATTGGAATTCAAACTCTCTAAATCTCAACACCTCTAGTCTTATTTTAAAGCATTTTTACATTTTCATGTTCATCAGTAACAATTGCCATCTGTTTAGAAGATAAGCTAATCTTCATTAATACGTTTTATCAGCTGTCATCATTTAGATTACAGAACACTGTCTGGATCTTTCTTCTAAAAGAAAAAAAAATGAACTTAAAGAACAAATAATGAGCATTGCAGAGAGATAAGTCTAACAACTTAATCCTTCTGAACATTATTCCCATCTTTCCCATTAGCATTGCAAATGATCTATCATTAATTATGGTTTCTTGTAATGAAATTAGTTGGTTGACCTGCACCATGAGCTTGCTTAACACTCTATCATCCATAACCCAATATCTACGGTCCATGTCAACAATTCCTGTCTAACCCTTCACTTCATTATCAATAACAGGTCATTCCTCCTGGAGATAATAAGTGCACTTCCTCATTTACTGTTTCTCTCGAGAAAAAAAACGTTGCAACAACGTTCCGATCTTGCCTGGCAGGTATTCATTCGGGACTCGTCGGTGATTTTGGGGGGTCACGTTGCGTTAACTGTGCCCTGAGAGTGCGGATGAGGCGGTACCACTGTTACCAACCGGCTTCAACTGTTCATTGTGAAAGTTGTTAGGTACGATATATACACGTACTTCCACCTTATCGAATTGTTAGTTCAATTTGAAGTTTTTAGGAAATGGGACGACGACCAGCAAGATGCTACCGTTATATCAAGAATAAGCCATATCCCAAGTCTCGATTCTATCGTGGTGTTCCAGATCCGAAAATTCGTATCTTTGATTGGGGCAAGAAGAAAGCTGCAGTGGATGAATTCCCGTTGTATGTGTGTCTAATGAGAGAGAACATCTTTCATCGGAAGCGCTTGAGGTACATCATGTAGCTTGGGATTTGGATATCTGCTAGGAGACTGTTTAAGAAATTGTCCAAATTGGATTCCTGTAATCCAAAGAAACACTTGTCATTTTGATCCTACCAGTCATATTTTCTTGCTCTTTTGTCATTTGCATGTTAAACAACAAATTGGTGGCAAATTTGACTACTGATGAAAAGCAGTTTAGGATTTATATTCTTATGCTATTCCTTGCAAAGACGGTTTTCATTTGAAAACGCTTAAAACTGCAGAAAGAATCTAACGTAATATTTCAAAGTCCTTAATCCAAATTTATAAGTCTTCCGTTTTCAGGCAGTTCATATTTGTGCTAATAAATTTATGGTAAAGAACTGTGGCAAAGACGGTTTGTGGAACATCCATACCATATTGTACGCATCAATAAAATGTTATCATGTGCAGGTGCTGATCGCTTGGAAACTGGAATGCGAGGAGATTTTGGTAAACCTCAAGACTTAGTTGTACGAATTGATATTGGTGATATATTAATATCGGTACGGGTAAAAGAACAGGTTTGTTTTGTTTGCTAACAAGATATTTAGAATAATGCATTGTAATGGATGTCCGAACAGCGTGTACTGTAAATAAGGGACGGTCCCTATGATGTCCTGGTTCAGCAATGAAATTTAACGGCTTGTTTTTCTGTAAAATACGAGTTTTGCTCAAAAATGTTTTCTCTGACTTGCGAAGTCTCCGCCCTGTGTACAAATAAGTTCTGTAGCCTTTCTATAATGTAAAAATCCTGAGGAATTGATAGTTGCCAATGTTCAGCACGAAGAGCATGCGGTGGAAGCTTTTCGAAGAGCGAAATTCAAGTTTCCTGGCGTCAGCTTATTGTGGTATCAAAGAAGTGGGGCTTTACAAAGTGGGACAAAGGGGAATATGAGACAATGCGTGAAGGACGTTTGGTATCAGATAGTACAACGTGCAAACTCGTACGAGAGCATGATCCATTATCAAAATGGATTTCTAATCCTACTTAAAAGTTGATAACTATTCTCATATATGTTTTTTGAATAAAATACTTTGGATTTTTCGTTTTTTTTTTTTCATGTGCTGATCACATTTGATCAGAAAATTGTATGCTCCGCGATACAAGAAGTTCTGTAAATTCAAAGAAGGTTTCAAATCATGAATGTATGATATTCAGACATATACAATCGTGATTCATAATTCATGCATGTATGGTACTCAGACATATACAATCGTCATCCAAATTCATGGATGTATGATACTCAAATGTAAATAATTATGATTCACTACTCAGACCGTTATTCACAATTCATGGATGTATGATACTCAGACCATTTTTCACAATTCATGGATGGATGTTACTCAGACGAATATAAATGTGATTAACAATTCATGGATGTATAATACTCAGATATAAGCAATCATGATTCACAATTCATCGATATATGATACTCAAACATGAACATTAACAATACAGAGATGTTGTGAAAGAGCGAATACAACCGCGATTCACAATTCATGGATGTATCATACTCGGATGATTGCAACTGTTATTAACAAGTTATGCAGGTATGATATTCGGACGAATATAACTGTAATTAATAAATCATAGATGTATGTGTATTCAGACATATACAACCGTGATCAACAGTTTATGGATGTACGATACCCAGGCATATGCAACCGTAATTAACAATTTAAGGATGTATGATACTCGGATGAATACATCTGTGATTAACAAGTCATTGTCGTGAATAGTTGTGGTCAGATACTCGAATATTTGTGATACAATAGTGAGATTAATGAATCTTTATAAAACGTATTATCAATAATCTGTAATCTGAGCAGTAGAAATAGGCTTTACAAAATCGGAGGAAATTGAGTTTTGTTATGAAGGTTATAGTCGACAATAATCTCTTGTTATCAGGATTGCATTTATATGGTTGAGAATTGGGCGTTTCTAAGATAAAATCACATATGTCGAAGTTGGAGGTCATATATGTGAAGAGTTAAGCATGTATATGGTAAAATCACATATGTGAGGAATTAAAAATGTTTACATTTAAGATCATATAAGGAATTTAAAAGAAGAGATCATGATGAGAGCTAATTTCAATTTCATATAAACATGAGTAATAAATCTTAAGAAGCCAAATTAATGTAAGATTGTTTGTGTAAGATGATTTATAATACCGTAAGATTGTTTACAATTTAAAAGTGATTAATTAGTTTTATTAGCTTTTCTTTATATTAAACTTATTATTTTGTATAAAGTTTTCGCGAAATTATAATTCGCGACACTCTCCACCTCTCTCCGTTTATTAAATTTTATTAAATCGTTTTTTTTTTTTATTTTTTATTATTTCTTCTTTTTTGAAATTTACAATTTATTATTATAGTGATTAGATGTCAGTTATTTTAGAATATCACTTATCAAGATGTTTATTCCTTTTTTTCTGTCAGCGAACTACATGTGAAATATATAACACATATATCAACGATCTAAATTTATATCACTTATTTGTTTGTTTTTTCTTCTGAATATAAATAAACTTATAGTATATATGTTTATTTAGCTTACAGAATAAAAAATAGAAACAAAAATCCGAAATGTATTATTTTGAAAGTTCATTTGTTGGATTATTTAAAATGAAGTGTAAAACACATAAGTTTTCATCCATTTTTTCTTCATTTATGAAATAGTAAAAATGAAAAAATGTTTTGTTTATAAAGCAATTTTTGAAAATTAATTATTATTAACGTTTGTTAGAAAATAGATAATATTTATCATTATTTATTAGAAAATTAATGCATGCTCACTGCTAAATATTCCCACAAAGCCATGGGCAATATTTACTTCATTTTAACATAGTACTAGTTTGCATCACTTAAATATAATAAAGAAAATGTTAATCAAATGAAATCAGTTGATTTTGATATATTTTTATATCAAAAAGAAATCTAAAAAAAGAAATAGGAAAGAAATGAAAATTAAAAAAAAAAAATTAATGAAATTACTTACCTCATCAAGGCTAAGAGCAACATGCGTAAATTTATTATTCAAATTTTTAAACATTTTTCAATAAAATCGAATAATGTTACCACCAATTTGTTCTACGTTTATCATATTTTTAACAAAAAATGTTACAAATTATCCAATGATATATCACTCTGATAACTGAATTAAATAAAATAGTATTTTGTTTGAAATAAATATAATATTCTTAGGTTTCTATGTCAATTATAATTTATTGTCTAAATTTTGAATTTTATTCCCTTTTTATAATGTAATAATTAAGATAAAGCAATTTCATTTAAAGTTTTTCAAATGTGTTTCAAATGTGTTAAATACCAATAAAATTACTTTAATCGTTAATTTTTTTGAGAAATAATTTTTGTTGCAATTTCAAAGGAAAAAAAAACAAAAGGAGACTCGTAATAGAAGTTTCAATAAATTTCTTAAGTTTATCTATTTCTGGTAAATTTTTTCCTTTTTTACTTGAAAACTTTCGAATAAACTTATATGGTTATTTAGACTGGATATTTTAATTATACAGTTAAATCTTTAATTAAACAATCGAAAATTAACTACAAAATTACCTGTGTTAATTTTATTTAATTTACTACGAATGATTGCATAAATTTATCAGTTTTAATATTTACAAACTAATTAATTGATAAGTTCTATTATATCTAACATTATTAATGCCCTTATATTCATAAGCTTATTAGTTTTATCCACAAACTCATTTCAATATATATTTAAAAAAAATCAAACCAAAAATTGCTTTAATGTTTTTTTGCGTTTGATAGAAAAGAAAAAAAAATTGAAACTAATATAGAAAGCATTGGATAAATGCAATAATTGATAAGAGAAATCAATTTAACTGTTTAATTTAATAATAACTGAGAACGATTCCGTAAAGCAGGAACATCAGGAAAGCGGTGAATAATGTTTAGATCCACTAACAAGCTTACGCTAAATATAAATTAAAATATATAAGATTATTCTATTTTTAACAATAAATGATAAGGCAAACCTGACTGGTATTGGTCAAAAACCCATCCTATTGAGGGTATACATTTTCAGTTTCAGTAGCATGTATTATTCGTAAAAACTTGAATGCTTAAATTTTCTTAATCTCCTCCTATAAAACTGTCACCAAAAAGAAAAAAAAAATCTGTGTTCATTAACAAACTATTTGGCAAATATGTTATTTTTTGGATCGAAATACTGAGATGATACATTTTCTGATGGTCCAATCCAAATATTAATATCGACACTGTCACCAAATGAACAGTAATCGAGAATTATAATATCATCCAAAAGTTCTGGAATTTGATCAAACGATGTTGCACTAAATAACTTGGATCATCTGAGTTCTGCAAATCTTATTAAATCATTTAAATATATTTTTACAAACACTAGGAATCTTTTTTTTTTTTCACAATCTTTTTAACACTAAGCAGATCGACATTGTCACATAACTTTAATAGATCTTAATTCTCGACTTATAGCAGCAAAAGATTCCTTTCGCCACCTGTCATTTTAACGGATTCAATGACTTTGTTATGTTCATTACAACTGCATTAGTTTTAAATAGTTATTTGTATGTTAAAGACGGAAAAACAAGAAATCAAGCATATGAACTGTACTGCTTCAGGACCAAAAAATACAGATTCCATTAACTTCAAAAAAGTAATAACTAAAAATATGCCATATGTCACATTCTATTAATTTCTGAATGAAATTACAAAAAGTCATCATAACTTGTTAACAGTTACCACCAGCATAACTGTTACCAATCTCAATTGACCAATAAAGGTACGATGACCAATAAATTTGTTAAAATATGAGAAGCTAGAAGGAAGCTAAGATCAGTAGCATAAGAGTGCATAGGAGTAGTAAGAATAATTATAAATTTGCTTTTTCAAGATCAATAGTTTCTACATAAAAAACGACAAATTATGTTGAAGTTCTTAACATTTATGTAGAGAACCTTTCTAGACAACTATTAATCTTATTTACATTTTCTAAATGCAGGCCACTAATTTACAAGTCTTCTTACAACTACTAGTTTTTTATTTCTACAACATCTCTTCAAAAGACAGTAGCTCGCAAACATCCATAATTTGAGTTCAGTAAAGGAAGTGGTGGTTGCAAAAGCTTTATAGTCTGTAAAAAAAGTAATAATGTGCATATTAATACGAAAGTTCTAGAAAAACTGGCTTACCATTTGAAATTTCAGAAAGCGTAAATCCTTGCAAAAAAGAGTTACTCATCGGAAAGTAAGTCGCCAGTTTTGATAAAGGAGAATGCAAATGAGGGCAAAGTTCGGCAGCGCAAAAAATTTTGCAAAACCATCAACACTACGACCCATTATTACGCCCATATCACAAGCAACATAGATCTAGTCAACATATGACAAAATATACAGAATGTAATAAATATATCAGTTAATACACTTCATAATACTGAAAAGTAAAGCTTAATAGTATAAACATTACCATTATTTTATCAAATACAGTTGGCATCATTAAAACAACAAAAATGCTTACTTCTATTCGCTTCTCTAATTTCAAACATACTACTCTACACATCATAATATTTGTGTAAAAAAAGTCTCCAAACTTCATCGATCTCTTCATAATAGCCAGTATTCAATTTTTCCCAAACTATTAAGACCAAAAAATTTTTTGTTTACTTCGTGCAAAATTTTATGCTAAAGTTGCTCGAGTGCATTCTTTATAAATTCGAATTAGTAAACAACCAATGACACTTTCTTCTGGCAAGTGTTGCAGATGGACTAGTCTAGGAACATCTTGTGTCTAATCTGTTTCCATGTATTTCATTTTAAAAAACGTAATATTTGATATTTTGAGCTGGAGATTATTTGGCCATGTGAGTAATCGTTGAATGCAAGAGTAACATATTTGGTTTGAGATACTCGATTTCAAGTTTAAGATACTCGATCTAAAACAAAAAAAAAAAAAAAAAAAAGGTGAAGGTATTCGATCTGTGTCAATTTAAGTGAATCTCACTTATTAACCTAAAAAGCAGAAAAAACCTTATCAACCTTGAATTTATTTTGACCAAAATGAATTTGCAAAAAGGAAGAAAATTTGAAAACTAAGTATACATTAATCATAAAAATAATCAACCTTGAATGACATGATAGTTTTATTCTCGTCATAACAGCCGGATCAAAGCAATCACCTGGTGTATATTTACAATCAGCACCGTCAAATGCAATGTAGGTAACTTCATTCGACGTGGAAAATAAAACATCGTCTGCAAAAAGAAAAAAAAAAATACATTTAAAGTAATATAACTGTCTAAAAGATGGACAAAAGTACTGTAATATAATAAAATATATTAAAAAGTACAACAAAATTATTAAATTCTTCGATTATCGCCAAAATAAATACCAAACATGTAGTATTAATACAGATATAAAGGTACAAATGATTCAGTCCCATCATTACAGATTACAATGTCGATACATTATGCTCAATGGATTATGTACTGAGAAATTCACAGCAATTTTTTATTTGCAAGGTTTTATAGTAAGTCAAATGTAACCAGCATCTCTAAATTCATCTGATGATACCATGAATCCAAGTTGTTCGTAAAACTTTAAAGTATTATGGTATCGATATATTATCAGGAGTTGCCTACTATAGAAACATTGTGCTAACTCGATAGCACGTCGACATAGGCGATATCCCACAGCTCGTTCTCGCTAGTCCTAAAAAAAATAAACAATTCTTAGTAAACAAAATCTAATAAACAACTTCTTTGTATTAAATTAAGCAAAAAACCAGGGATACACAGCAAACCACTTTTGAAATTAACTAGATATTTTATATAAATCACATCAAAAAGTATTACATACACTCCCTAAACTCACAACGAATAACCACGCTAACTCCTATCCCTACTTAAACTTATCAAGCGGCATATTACAATACACGTGCCTCACTCTACAGTATCCAGAAAAAACGTTGCAGAATCCTTCTGACTTGCAGCATAGTATTGGAATAAAATATTGGATATAATTGGAGAGGTTGAAAGGTGGCGACTTATTTATTGTGTAAGCGATAATTGGTTGATTACAAGAGTCATTGTTGCCTTGCTTGTGTTCGTTTCTAGAAAGATGATAAAGGAACTCTTTAGAGGTTTGAAGTATTTTCAAAACTAGGAACAAGAACTTTATTTTAAAAATTTCGAGTTTAATTTTTTATTTTGGGAATTTTTTTCTTCGGAAAAAAAATAAACAATTGAAATTAAATTGAAATTAAAACGAAAAATAATTTCTATATACAAAAAAAATTCTGTTTTTTTAAAAAAATAAAACATTTTCTATTTAAAAAAAAAAAATTAAAACAAAAAATTTACATATATTAATAAGATACTTTAATATTACTGATAAAGGTTTATAAATTCTTCTTACTTATATAATTAACTGAATAAGTTATTTTATTAATTTAAAAAGTATATTTTTGAGAAAATTCATTTATGCATCAAATTTCATCATTGATAAATTTTTTGTTAACACTGAATTAAAATCTGCAAATAAGATATTTAAATATGAAAACATACAATTCGATCCAATAATACATTATGAAATGGGCGAATTGATAAGGACTTTTGACATAAATGAAATTAATAAGTGATTTCTGCAAATATTTGATAAATCGAGTGTATTTGTGATTTGTTCATAGTTAATGTTTTAAGGGAGAGTTCGATTTATTCCTATGAATTTACTAAAAATTTAAACAATAGTATACTGCTCCAGTCTTTGGGAATCAATATATGTCTTTTCTTTTGTAATACTCTTCTCCTTAATGTTATTTCGGCTCAGAATGAGCTTCTGATATTGCATTCCGGTCGATTTCTTTCCTTAAGTTTGTTACTGAATGCTTTTGGACATCAGTAAAAAACACTGTGCCACATTCTTCTCTTGATCTGCCCCTAGAATAAATAGATAATTTTTTTAATAATCAAGAACTATATTATATAGAAAAAATAAAAAAAATCCAATCGTCATATGTATTTACAGAAACAAATATGCATATGCATAAGCATATCTTCATACTGACTATCCAGGCACATAAATCTTGTGGTGATTGACAAAATCGGATGTACATGAAATCAATACCTCGTATGTACGGTGAATCGCTGTTGTTAATCATACTAACCAGCTGTTTCCTAAAATTCTACGATGAATCAAACAGACTTTCAAATGCTTAGCAATAGTGCCCAATGTTGAAAAAACCAGAGCCATAATAACAGTTACTTACATTATCTCACTGAAGCATTACTAACAATTAGTAATGCTCAAATATAAACTGAAATTTAAACTGACAAACTCACAAAATGTTACTGCACATATGTTAAATTATAAGCAAAATTACTAGAAAGAAAATGCAAGAAAATGAATTTAAAATATATTATAAAACAGTTGATGATAACACAAATGAAAATCCACTGAAACTTACAATGATTTACAAAACCAGGTATGGTTTTTTAGTGAGTTACGTTTTATCCATACCTGGAGAGCCGAATAGTGAAAAGTTTATAAAGAAGACAGAATGCCGTACTCACCACTCCACCAGCACCAACACCTCTCACCTAGAGATTAACTTGCGTATATAAGATGATTATGTTTATATAGTTTATTAAGTTTTCAATTAAAGAAGATGTGAAATACCAGGAAAAGAAGGAATGCAACTGATCCCGCCGCACATGCGGTTATCCCTTGTGTTTTCCGTGTACCGCGCTCCTAGGGTTCAAGATGTCTCACCTGAAATGAGCTGTTATTAGCATAAAAAAAAAAACTACATTATAACCGTGTACGAAATTGCAGTTACTCAATGATGATGAAAACAAAAAAGATAACGGAATAGTTTGCTTTACATATGTTACAATATAAAACAACTTATACTGTAATAAATTTCTTCTGTAAGTTGTTGAAATCCTATAGTTTCCGCAAGGTAATTTTTGTAATAAATGCATTGGATAATATTCTCCAATACCAAAGCATTTAAATTCATTGTCTGCGTATTGCCCCACAGTGGCAAAATGTCGTTCTTCTTTGTTATGTTCTATAAAATATGATGACGTATCACGAATCAAATTAGCGCCATAAATGGAAAACATATATTACTATGCAAAATATTGATAAAGAAAGGAAATGTGAATTTTTTTCGAAAACCTGAATTTTGTTCGATGAATGAGAATCAATCTTTAATAAATCAAGCACATGGTTTAACTAATACTAATAAACTAAAAGACTGGAAGGAAAAATTAGCTAAATACAATATGAATATATTAAAATATAACTACTAACTCTCTACCCAGTTAAACAAAGTACACTTATATTATTATTTAAAAATAAAACTATATACAAATATGTATTTCAAAAAAAAAAAAAAAAAAAAACTCTATGAGCTGTCTATTCATTCCTTTCACTGGAAGACATAGCATAACTTGATGATTTATATTCTACCAAATAATAAGTAAAATGTACCTGCATGTCCGGAATACTATTATCTGTTAGATCACCTTCATACATCACATTGGTACTACCAGTACCAACTCCTGCGATAAGCAATGCAGCTGCTTACCATCCGCAGCTGACATATTTCACCTTAATATTTTTCATTTACTAGTAGAAAAAGAAAAATGCATCACTTTAAGCTTTTATCTTATCACATAATATTTTCATCGTTTCTAAGAACACAATTCTTCTGAAAAATCAGCACATGCAGTCTAGCAATGTCGCCAAGTCTAACCAAATTGACTCATACAACTATGACCTCTGTCAAATAACGCTCACCCTACACAAAATGCAGTCATGCGCCACTCACCTACAACCACATTATCAGATTCGCCACTGTGTCACGCTATTCCATGAAATAAGAGAGTTGGTTGCTATGAAATCGCTTGGATCATGTCGAACAGATATTGAAAAGAAAAAATTTCTTTCGCTCTTGTGGTAGACATTCGCGTAAAAAAAAGTCCCCCTGTATAAATTTATGAGGAAGTTTAAGGAAGGAACAATCAATATTTTTTATTCATAAATTTGGGAAAATACGAATGAATTATTTGCTAATACTAGAAAATAATTAAAAAATTCATAAAATAAGATACATTATTTCCTGCAATTAAAAATGTATAACAATAAAAAATTTAATAAATGAATATAAATACTGTTTGAAATCAAATTAATTAATTTCTTTCACTTCATTTGCTTTAAAGCAATTCAGATTTTCACTTTCATAATCTTTAACTTAATGAAGAAAATAAAGTATTCAATATTGAAACTTATCCATGCCTTCTTTTTTAAGAAAAAGGAAAAAAAAAAAAAAAAAACGTTATTATTTTACTTTTATGCAACTCTACAGTTGAAACAACCTTAAAATTATGAAGCTAATATTAAAATTATACCATACATTCAAACAAAAGCTTATTTATTTTATAGTATTTAATTTGGTAATAAAATTTATTCTCAAATAAAAAAAGAAGTGATTTTTTCGAAATGAAATACAAGCATCAAAAATTGTTGTAGCATATATAATTTTATCTAAGTATTTTGTAAATTTAACCCAAAAATTTCATCAAATCCTTGTGTGTTATTGAAACTAAATTCTTTTATTTTTTGCTTCTTTGCTTTAAACCAATTCCACTTTCTAACTTTTATAATCATTATTTAATTATTTTGCATCCTTCACCCAGTTATTTATCAACCCAAATCTTTTCAAAATCTTTACTCAGTTAATTTACAACAAGACTACATTCTGCAAGGTAATTCATGTAAAATAAAAATTTTGCAAGATAAATTTTTTTTAAAAGAATTTTTTTTTGTACTTTTTCTTTTATTGGTACTTTGTAATTTTTGGACTTGTTTTTTCGTCTTTTTTCAAATTGACTTCAACCTTTTGTTCTTTTCTCATTTTTTAATTGACAACAACCATTGATCATTTATAAAATGATTCATATCTATGTAATGTCTTATTTTGAAAATTAAAGAAAACAAAGTATACTTTCTCTCTGTCTCAAATCTCGTTAACTTTTTCACTTCCTTACTGCCTTTTACTCTCTGTGTCTCCCATTCTATCTATTCATTATATTTGAAATATTTATCAATTATTTTTTCTTTACAATCAATTTATATTGTCAATCTTTCTTCTTTTTCTCTCTTCTCTTCCCCTCTGATTCTGCCTTTCCTTTGCAGTTTTATTCTTCTTGGTTTCCTGCTAACTCACAACATTGCAGCTATTTCATTTCAGTACAAAAATTTGCCAAACTTCAAAATAAATTTTGATTAACTTTTCCTTTTTGTAATCATAATACCTCTCCCTCTCTCTCCAGTTACTCTCCAATAATTTTCTCTATATTTTTAAAGAAACTTTTCAATAACTGAATTCTACACCTCTAGATAGAATTGATATATTGTTAAATTTTTAAATAAGTGAGTTAAGATGATTGTAACTTATTCTCAAATTTGCTTACATCATTGATTAATGATTATTTTCAGCAATTTTTTAAAACTATTTTTATAATAAAGAAAAAATGAAAAACATGAAAAGTTTTATTTCGGAAAAAATCTCCGTATATTGTCAAATGATAAGATGAGAAAAGTTTATCAAATTATCCCACATTGCAAGTTCAAGAATATTATAAGACAAATTTGATTTCTTTGATCATTTTTTAACTTCGAAAGATGTATATATATGACTATTAAATTGAAATGTTTAAAACAGAATGGGAAATTTTTCTTTTCTGAAAAAAGAAATGGGAAAAAATTTCCTCTAATAGAATGAATATATCATCATTCTTTCATTTATTATTTAATATTTCGTAGCCATTTAATGCATAGTTAATCAATCCATTAAAGTGATTTTTGCTGTTTCGAAATGATAAAAAATAGAAAATATATTTAATATAATAATAAATGAGACGAAAAACTAGATATTAGTAATCAGAAATTTAAAATTATTAGGTGACAAATAAAATTGATTGATTTTAAGTCGTTATTTTTCACATAAAATATTTTAATTATTTCATTAAATATTGCATTGGATGAAATATTTCATTACATAGGTATTAGAAATGATTAGTTTTTAATAATTATTGTAATATTTTATAAAACAAAATATTTTATAATTTTGTTTTATCAAGAGAAAGAGAAAGTACAGAGAGGGAGAGAGAGAAAAAAAAGGGAAAGAAGAATTGTCTCATATTATTATTATCAGTGCTGTTCGAATGTGCTGAAATATCGGATCTTATATTGCAATGAATAATAATCTAGGAATTAATTTGAATTAATTAATAATTGTTTTATTTTTATTTACATAAAATTGTTTTAGAGTGGTAAATGGGGTAAAGAAGAAAAATCATCTAATCCCTTTAAAAAGGCGACAATTTTGATCTTCGTATAGGAATTCACAAGGATAAATTGGAAATTTTTGATAATCAAAAAGAGCTTCATATTTATAAAACTCGTATAATGTCAATTCAGTGGAATATTTAGCCATTCGCGGGAATGTTTCATGGAAAGGTATGCATTGGGGTGGTCGATATTATACTTTATTTTTTGAAATATAATTTCCGAGTGTAATCTAAAAACTGGCAAATTATCATTTATCATAAAATTATGATTTTATATTATCATATAAAATCTATCGATTGATTAATTTATGATTCAGAATAATTGATTTCTTAAAGTTTACAGTCTGTAATATCTTATATCTTGATATTAGCAATTATATTTTTATTTAATAAAATATCGACATTGATTTTTATATATCAATTCTTATCACAATTCTTATCGTTAGTAATAAATTCATTAGTTAATAATATGTTAATTTAATGAGAAATTATTTCTGTTTCATTTTTCATCTTTTTTTTTGTTTGAGGGTCAGCCTGAAGTTTTTTCTTTTTTTAATTTAGATTCGAATTCATACCTAAATTTGTTTTTACTAATTTATCAAGATATATCGTAATTTATTGAAAGCGCATTGTTTATCAAAATTGGCTAGTTTTCCAAAAAAAAAGGCCAAAAAAAAAGAATTGAAACTTTTAAGTGACTAATAACAGCGACAGTAATATTTTGCAGTAAAAAAAATTTGCTAATGTTTTGAAAAAAATGGCATAGGCTATTTTTTTTCAAAAAAAGAATAAAAATTATTGCACAATAATAGGTTATTTGCATTATTCATTTGTATTTTGTTTCTATTTATTATTTATTCTGTTCCATTTTATGTACTTTTTTTTTGTCGAACGAAGTAATTTTTCATAATTCCAATTAATTCAATTAATGAATTAAGATTTTTAAAGGTCAAAGTTTAATTTACTTTTAGATATTTATATAACTATGTAATTTTTTTTTCATTATTTTCTTTCTTTGATTATTTATTAATTTTATATTTTTTTTTTCAAATAAATTGAATAATTCAGGGTATCAAAAATTTTGTGTATTTATTAAATTTTTTATAGTTAATTGGAAATGATATTAAGGACAAATTGAAGATAAGTTAATAGAAAAAATTAAAATAAATTAATAACATTTGATATTTCGTTGAAATATATCAACTATATATTACAGACGAACGAATTTACTTCTATTATATTCCGAAAGGTGAATGTTTCGAGATTGACTTTGTATCAAGAAATGGGATATTCTATTTCACTTCAACCCAGTTTTAAGGAAAAGTAGGTCTTTTAAATTACTAATTGCTAATTTTTAATTTTTAAAATTTATTCTTCTTTTCTACCCTTATGCAGAAAATTTTGGAATAAAATAATATCATTTTTTAATTTTAGACATTTTTATTTTCAATACATTTCAATTTTATTTATTTTCAGTTCTTTCTTTTTACGTTTTTGTAAAAATTATCTAACTTACCATTATCTTGGAGGTAATACGCAGTGCACAAATTGGTGACATTTGGGGACAGGAAAGATGTGAAGGAATATTACCATTTAAGAAGGATTTTGTTGCCGTATCATTTACATACACCCTATTCCATTCAGGTAATTGATATTAAGCCTAACTTAATATTGACGAAAATGATGATATTTATAGATTACGTAGAATTTTTAAATGTGAAATCTTTTATTAATTTATAATACTTGCAAAATTATATAGTTATTAATTTCCTACATAAATGCCATTTGGCAAGAATTTTCGACCTTTTTTTTGCAAGAAGTTTTCTTATAACCTGAACTTTGCTATTGTTTTATTCAAAATGAATCATTATTTATTTGTAAGTGAAAATTTCAGACTATTCTTGAATAAGACAGAATTGCAATGAGTAAATTAACAAATTATACTTATTTATTGCACAGAAATATGGTAAATTTCAGTTATTGGTCCTCAAAATTATTTTTTTTTTTTTTTTTTATTGAGGACTAAAATTAGAGTTTAGTGGAAAGTTTTAGGTACTTATTGATGGTAAATGTTATGGTATATTTGCGCATCGTAAACAAAACCTTATGAAGACTGTATGGCTCTTTAAATAGCTGGTGATTTTGAGTTACAGGAATGGAATTCCCGATATAATTCAAATATTTTGCATTTGGTTCCACTTTTTTTTCTTTTGCTATCATATTTAATTTTCTATTATAAGTAATTAATTGTAAATTCTATTATTAAACTTTTCTCTATGTGTAACAAGTTAATTTGTAACGTTTATAATTTGGTAAGATATATTGATTGCTCATAGCATTATTTTTATCTTTAAAATCTTTGTTAAATTTAAATTTTGTTTTTTTCGTTTAAAGATATTTGAAAGTATTGATAGTTTTAAACATTTAATTAGACGGCTGAATTAAATTAACATTTTAATTTAGCTTCAATTTGAAAATTGCTATCAAAAATTGAATAATTAAAAACTCTCCATTGTTTTACTAAACTAATATTATGATATTAAAAAGAATCTTGAATTTTCTTTCTATACTGCTTATTTTCATAAATTTTCTTAGTATTTCAATTTGTTTTAATTCTATTAATGCATGATGACACCTTGTAACTATTTCAAATTCTTATTTCAGTGAAATAAGCATTTTCTGAAATTCTAAAAATGAAATAAAAGAAAGGGGTGGAAATGAAAAAAAGTGTGAAAGGGAAAATAAATATATGCTTAATTACGTAAAGAAAGTTGAAAAATAATTATGTGATTAATTTTTATGTAATAAATTGCTTTGACATAACATTGGATTATAAATTTCAATTATAAAATTATTTCGAGGATTATAAAATTAATGATTTACAATGAAGTTTTACTTTCTCTCTCCCATTTTTTAGGCCATAATATTTTATTTTTAAAGCTTCCATATTAGATTTACCACATTAGAAAAAAATTGTTCGTATTAATACTATATTCAGTTTTAATCAGTAAGATTAACAACATCTAAAAATTAAAAGTATTTAAAATTCATCAAAGAAAATGATGAGAAATATTGAAAGAGGAAAAGAAAGCATTGTATGAAATTAATTTAAGTAAAGGTCCAAAACAGTTTCATTTGTACATCAAATATGGAGAGGTTGTCGTCTGAGAAAACTTCGTTTGATTCGGTATATGGTGTGGTCATTGTATAGTAATTGACGTGTTCAAATGTCATCGTGTAGTAAATTTGAGTTATGATATACTGTTCACCAAATCACTTGATTTTGAGTAAACACGTCAATTACGCAGACATCGAATCAAACGATGTATGCGTAATATAGCCGAAATAATTTTTCAGATAAATTTGCTTATCGAATTAACGCCAATATATGATCTAAAGATGTTAATGCGATTAGCAATCATAAAGCTATGCAAGCGTACGTAATTTGTATCGTATATTATCCATATAATTATTATGTATGTTTTTTAATTCTATCGAGAAGGGTATTTTTTAAATGAATATTTTTAAAAACTTTCAGCTATATTTCGGTTGAAAATTAATTTTATTGATAAGGTTCTGTTTTTTATGTAATTGATTATTTTCAGATTCCAAAGATGGATCAATTTCGGATAGATGGGCAACGTGGATTTCTGAGAGCAGATGATGTATGTTTTTTTTTCGGAACATTTAATTGATGGAGTTAGTAAAAGACAGGAATTATGATCAGGAATTATGATCTATCTTCTATATTGTTTATATAATTTTTGCATTCAGATAAGTCTATTTTTTTTTCCTTTTTTGGTGTTCAGCATAAAAGAAATATGTGATTATAAAGTGACGAAAAATAAACACAGAAAAGCTAATCTTTCATAAGTCATAAATTAAAAAAGTAAGTGAAAATGCTTTGTATGCTTCAAAAATTTTATGACTTTAAAATGGTAGGTACTCATTCGTTTATTTCATTTACAATTTCAGATCTTGAGCATACAAAATTTCAGAGCATACAAAACATTTTCTACCTCATGTTGTACGTCTTTGTCTTATATCAACATTTATTGAAAATGGTATCCGTATGATATTATTTGTTATTAAATTTTGTACTCTGATCAATAACATAAGTAAAGATCATTTAAGAGTTTCATACTATTATAGCGGGCAAATTTGCACTCTCTCTGAAGTACGCCAAAAACAGAGGACTTCGAGAGTAAGCGTAAAATTCCACAAATTGCTGTTTCTATCCGAGGTATTAACATGGTCAAATAAATCTAAACCTAAGTTAGTACTGTTTACTTTTTCAGCATTACTTGAACAAAAAAAAATGAAGCTGAAAATTTCATCTTTAATGAAATAAAATTGAATCTTGAAGGTTCTAATTAGTTTCATTTACTGGTTGTCACTTCAATTAATTTGAATTTTTTAAAAATTGAAGTCTTCAGTGCTCTCTAAAAAAACAAAGTGGATGACAGTATAAATTTTTCCAAATTGATAATATTTTGTAATAATATAGTTTCAGAATTTTTTACTTAATTTTTTCACTAATGGCCGGTAAATATTCAATGCATTACTTAACTTTTGTTTCATTCCATATAATTTCATCTTTAGTGAAAATTCAAACTTCAGATTCAAATACAATCAATTGTAATGTTATAATTATTTCCATCCGAAGTATCGCAAAAAAAAAAAAAAATATTATAAATGAATAAAAAATATTAACAAATGAATAATTTTCGCTTGCAATAACTCTATCATTACTGCTAGATACATTTTCATTAATTCCATTAAACTTTACTTTTTTGCAGAGCTAAATTTTGTTTTTGTAAAGAATGAAATTTCAATAATTTAATCCGTGGAGAGGAATGATCTATGATAGTTTGAGTATTTGAAATAGTTGGAGAATCTTTCAATTGAACAGGTAAACTAGAAATGGTACTTATTGTTCGAGTATTTTTATTGATATGATTTGATTTGCTTTTATTGCCATATTCGTTTTTGTTTATCTCGTAATTTTTGTTGATGTAATATTTCCATTCCTTTCTGTAAACATTAACATTTGCATAGATATATGAACTATTAGCTAATATTGGCTTAAAATTTAACGATGTAAATTTTATGATGCTTAAATGATGAATGAATGTTAGCATCAAATCATTAGGTGTGATGTGCTTAAATGCTAATATAATAATAAAGTGATATGATAAGGGAGAAATGATTATAATACACGTTTCTTTTGAAAATTTTTCTGATGTCAGTTGTTAATTAAACTTAAATCGATTAAGAAACAACTTACTATGATTCTCGTCTTACACACATAAATTTTGCAATTATTCGAATGATTTCTTCAAACATTAGAACACACCTATACATACACACGCACACAGACACAGAATACTTTCTGTTAATTTGTAATGTGTGATAATAGGTTGATATGGAAACGACCAATGATTTTCAAAAGCTTAAGATGTGCCATATTGCTAATCTTTAATTACTAAGTTTTTTTTGTTTAACTCAAATTTATTTAAAAAAAAAAGAAGAAAGAAAGGAAGATAAAAGTAAAAAGCATTTGTAACGGATGTTATTACTGCAACAACTTTTGCTGCTATCAACACTTTAACATTCATTGATCATTGATAATTCTCTAATCACTTCCCTCTGCATTACTACTTCTTAATATCACTAATTGATTATCGTTATCTAGGCTTATCTCTTCTACATTCAATCTTTATCAGTTTCCTTTCTTTCTCTTATCATTATATCTATAGGTTTATCTCTTCTACATTCAATGTTTATCATTTTCTTTTCTTTCTCTTATCATTATTTCTAGGCTTATCTCTTCTGCATTTAATGATTGTCATTTTCTTCTCTTTCGCTTATCACTATATCTAGTTTTATCTCTTCTACATTCAATGTTTATCATTTTTTCTTTCTCTTATCATTATTTCTAGTTTTATCTCTTCTACATCCAATGTTTATCATTTTCTTCCCTTTCGCTTATCATTATTTCTAGACTTATCTCTGCTGCATTTAATGATTATCATCTTCTCTTTCGCTTATCATTATATCTATAAATTTATCTTTTCTGCCTTTCTTTCCCTCAAATTCTAACAATCCGAAAAGCACTAAAATGAATGTTTGACGTGAAGCAACTGTTGAAATAGGATGAAATGGTAGAATTCTATTCTTTTCCTCTCACAATTCTACAATCTTTCGATTATTTACAAAGCTATGCCATTTGCTGAGAAGTTAGTTAGTCAGTCGTCCAAATGTGGTGGAATATTTCAACAACAATACAAATTGAAATTTAAACCAGTAGCGCAATTTTCCATTTTACCGCATCGCATTTTCTTTTTCACTCCTTTTTTTCTCTTTTTTTCTGCAAAATAATTTATTTTTGATTTACTTTTAATGTAAACTATTTCATATGTTGTGGAATATTTCATTTACATTTTTTATATTGTTTATTTATTAAAAATTATTATTAAAAATTATTAAAAATTATTAGTTTAATAATTGTATAAATTATTATAATTAGATAAATAGTTCTTATGTTTTCATATCTGCTTATTGTTATTTTGATTTTATTCAATTTATTTTCCATCAAATTATTATATTTACTTTCAAAGTTTTTGGATAAAGTAAAATTTGCGTATTCTTAACTTATTGATTAAAACAATGAAAGGATATTCACTTACATTAATAATTAATTAATTAATAATTAACAGTTATCATTTAATTAATTATGCTTCAATCATAAAGAAAAAAAATTCTACCAGATGGCATATTTGCTATTTTATAATTGGCCGGAAAAATTTTTCTTTCATTATTATTTTTATTTCTAAAATTATATTTAAAAATTTTTTCATGAAAATTTTTGTCACAAATTTTACAATGATATCTCTTTCCCATTGTTTGATTACAATTGAAGAAGTGATAATATAAAAGATATTGATTGCACGGTTAAATAAAGAATATAAAATCAAAATATTTCGTAAAATTTTCATCAAAAAGTTTTTAAACATAATTTAAAAAAAAAGAAAGTTTGGTGAAAAAAAAAGGAAAAATTTTCTGCCAGATGGCATATTGCTAGCAATCTCAAGATACGGAAAGAGTATGCAATGGAAAGCTTTTAAAAGAAAGAAAAAATGAGCTAAGATCGAGAAATTCATATTAACATAAATACAAATATCATTTCTGATTAAATTATGATATGTTATCATTAGAATATAGCAAATGCTTTCTAATAAGTAATTATAAAATTAATCAAATTATCCTTTTTTTTTTTCATTTTTCAGAAGATTAATATTTAGATGCAGTAGAAATTGTCATCTCCTTTATCAGCATTATCGTAATGATGATAATGGTTGAAGTGATAATAATCTTATCGATGATTAAAGTGATAACAGTCTTATCAGCAATTATCTAGCTGAACAATATATGAACTTTTATCAAGAAGCAAATCGAACAAGCATAGCAATTTGATTGAGATATTAATTAATTTTGGTCTTTTGATTGTTTTGTTTAAAAAATTTCTTTAAAACATTTATCAATAATATATATATATATATATATATATATATATATATATATATATATATCATATATATATATATATATATATATATATATATATTCATCAATGTTTAGCTAAATTCAATAAAAAACTAAAACTAAAAAAATATTTATCATTGAAAGTTTTTGTTGTAAATAACAAAACATCTGATATGCAATTTATAAAAAAATTTGTAAATCTTTTTAACAAACCTAATCCAATTTTTTCTTTTCTTTATTAACTATTTCATAGGATTACAAAATTAATTTATTAATTAATCGTATTTTTTTTTTTTTTTTGTATTTTTTTACCTCAATGTTTTAATATAGACGAGAATAAATATATATCGATGGATGAATGAGTGTGCTTTTTTTTTTTAAAGAATAAATAATTTTGTAAACATTTCAGCACTGTGAAAAATCAATTCAAGCAAATGTAAACTTATCTACAACTTACTTTAGATAAAATATTTAACAGTCCTTTTAATTTTTTTCTTAAATTCTTAAATAATTTTTGAAATTTCTTAAATATTTCTCTGCATTTATCGAAATTCAAAATTTTCATAATTTCTTGAAAGAAAGAAAAAAAAAAAACGATATGTTTTAAGAGAGAGAGAGAGAAAGAGAGAGAGATGTAAAAAAATTGCAGAAATTTTTCATTACTTCTCAGATTCTTTCTTTTTTCCTTTCTTTTTTTTCTCTCTTAAAATATAAGATGAAATGATTCAGAAAGATTAACAATTGTTTGAAAGAAATTTAAGAGAGAACCATCATATATATATATATATATATTTCATAGACATAAATAAGCATAGCCATTATCAAGAAAAATATCCAACAATCAATCTGATCTTGTCCATTATTACCAAGGTGATAAGCTATAAGTAATTCACATTAAGCTAACATCTCTATTCATAATTATAATATATTCATGGATTACTAACAACACTCAGTCATTTATTTATATACTGAAATTTTAGAAATTAGAAAAAATTTTACAAAAAAATTTTACAAGAAAAAAAATTTTACAAATTTTTTCTTTTTACTTTGCTCTTTGAAACTTATCCTTCAAATTTCATTTCCTTCTAATATTTTTTCGTCTTTTAACTTTTTTAACTTAATATTGATTAGCTTTCTTCTTAAAAAAAAA